CCTGTCCGAAGTCTGCACACACACACACACACACACACACACACACACACAGCTTTTGTTTAATGTACAGGTATTTTCTTTATTTATATATGACCTTTTAAAGCAATGTCACAACAATACTTTACAAATGAAAGACAAAGCAAATCAGCACCACATAAATGGCTCCTCCTCCTCACTTTCCACTGATATCAAGGTTAAGACCCTTTGCATTCATATATCCTTAGATAAGTAGAATTTAGACAAAAGAAATATTAGAGGACTTCACAATTATTGAATTTCATTTGTATTTCAGCTCTTTAAATGACACTGGAGTCTTTCTAGGTACATCTGACTCCTATTAAACCTTTGAAATTAGTTAATTTATCTGGTTGGGAGACTTTGTTCAACTATTGGTCATTTTGTGTATCATGTTGAGAATTATTATTATCATTATTATATAGTGTTTTTAAAATACGTTTCTGTTACATTTTGATAGTAAATCGTCCGGCTGTGTATTCTTGTGCTTTCTTCAGTATTGTGCTGACCTCTAGTGTTCATTCATGGATTTGCTGATTTTGAACTATTAATGCAGACACTCTTCTCTGTTTCAAAAGAAGAAAATACAAAAACACAAAATGTTAATTAAACATGTTTAATAGTAATGAGGAATTAAAATTTTGTTTGTTTTTCACAGTTTTGATTTAATTATTTTTTCTTTAACTGATTTTCAGTTTTTATATAAGGAAGCACATGCAAACAAAATGCACAATGTCTTAGGACAAATATACATATAAATAAAAATACACATTTAATAACTATTTTCATTCATCTGATGATTGGCCTTATCAACAGTGGTTTATTTCAGACTGCTGTAGTCACTTGTGCTTCATCTCTCCTCAACAGACTGGGAAGATGAGGAGGAGGCGCGATGACAGGAGCAGCATGAACGGTGAAGTGGGCATTAAACGGCGGCGGAGGAGTCAGGACTGTCCATCGTAATAGTGACACTTGAAAGGGAGAAAAAGAAAGACATGCCTCTCTTTGCTTTCCAAGCCCTGGGAGCAGAAGCAGGAACAAAGTCGCATAAAGGCCTCTAATCCAAACCTCTTTATCCCAAAATCCAACGTTACCATTCCTGCATATAAAACAGAGTGTTAGCAGGGACATTTGCAAGCCAAACAGAATTTCCCCTGTCACACAGACTGTGCAACTGCCAGGATGCACCTTCCAGTGGAGTTAGGACTGCAGAATCAGTGAGTAGAGATTGGTGAACACTTCTAGCCCCCACTTTTATTCTGAAAAAATATAATTTATTTCTTTAAACAGAGGAATTCCTTTGTATTTGTCATTAGGCTACTGTGTAGAGTTGAGATGTGCCTCCACAGTGTGTTTCTAATTCCAAAACTGTACTCTGACTTGTATTTGGTATTAAGCCTTTTCTTGGGCAGCTGCATGCATGTATCATGAGGTGTTTGGGATTCAGACTTGAAACTTTGCTATTTTTTGTAATGTGCAATATGTAATTTGGACAAAAAGTGTAACAAGTCCCACTAGCTAAGTTGTATTTTAAACAGAAACATGATCAATTCTACTTTTCTGAGCAAAAGTAAGAAAACTATATTACCCATAACTTAGCCTTGTCATAAACAATAATCGGAGTGTAGGGAAGCCCTCATTCGATGTTGAAAATACAGAAATACTACAAAACCAAGATTCACAAAAAGTTTATTCTCCACTAAACATGAATGTTAAATATTGTCATAAATCACTGATAGAAACCTCAAGTTTCCAATCAGCAGACACCAGAGGCAGAGAAAAAAGCACAAACTACAGACACAAAATTATACCAAAACATAAGTCTGTCATTCTGGCGTTCTGGGAGTTTTACTGTTCAGTGTATGTGGTTATTGCCAGTAACAGCTGAACTAATAAAGAGATTAATTTGTGACAGTAAGCTACTACCTATAAAGCCAAATGAGTACATTAAAGCATATAACAGAACCCAAACAGTGGTTAAGAGAGATTATTTCCAGAGATACAAATTTAGCACCTTGTTTTGGGTAAAGATGAGGTATTGTTTTACTAAGATGGATAAAACTATGGTCATGAACTAAAATAATTTATTCATCAATACATGCATGATAGGTCATTATTAATTTGTTGAAATCTTGTGTTTTATCTACATATCCATGAACACATCACGCAGTACAGTTTTTTATGAGAAGCCAGTCTGGTATTGTAGTTGATCAAGTAAAACAACTGATAATAGGCATCTGTGGTATTAATATCAGATCATTACATAATTGTTATGGAGTGATTACAATTGAATCTCGTGGCAGCTGCAAAAAACATCAAATAACATATACAAAAGTTAAAATATACCCAAAATTAAATGTTTCCGCTTTGGTGTATTTTAGTGATGGATGACTCAAAGTTTCTTCTTATGTCGTACACATTGTATGTTAATCTATCAGCTAATTGCATAAACAGCATGGCACAATCTTCAGCGCACATAAAAATACATGCAGCACTACTTCTACTGACATCCTCATAACCACGATTCAAACTTCCTACAGAAGGAGGCATTTGATCCTAAAATCAATCCACATTTGTCAAAGCAGATGCATTAGTATTGACTCTGTGAGTGCAAGCGGGAGAGGAACACACACAAACCACAATTAAGCTCTAAAATCATCAGAATCACAGATTTCTTTCAATCTTTCACAAATTTCATCATTTTGTTAAACTCTGGTAATGTGATCAACTACACAATTTTACATCTGTGTAGTTCTTTTTTGCCTCGGTCCTGAAACAGGTGTCTCTTTATTTCACTGCATCTATTTTGTTTTTATGTGTAAATGTTTGTAGATAATGGACAATGGTGACTGTCAAGCCAACACTGTAAAATCAGACAACAATCTTGAGATGTTTTCTAAACATTAGTTGTTGCAGAATGAGAACCTTAGCTGTCTTAAATATTTTGTGTAAAAAAAATCAACAGTGTGTGTGTGTTATTATATATTGTTGTAGCAAGGTTTTTAAACAGCTTATTGCTAAATGTTTTCAAGTACTGCTGGCTCTAAACATTCAAACATTTTGTACAGTGGAAATGAGCATGAAGTAGTTTTTCTACCAATTATGAATTGTGTTTAAGAATACAGAATGTTTATCCCCCACAATCAACTACAGAAAGATGTCCAGGCCCCTTTTGTCCTCCATTCATCGTTGATAACTTAAAAATGCAAATTACAGGAATAATTTGGACAACTTTGACATAAACAGGATAAAATGCAGCTGGTTAAACTGCGGCACGGCTGACGTGAGATTGGTTTTATTAGAAGTGTTACGTCATACAAAATGTTTACATGTATTCAAAAGATTTTCACCCTGTAAAACAAAATGTGATCAATGTGTTAAACCGGCATTTATGCAGAAGAAATATTTTCAGACAAAAAACTACATATGGTACCTTTGTTCATGTCTTCTTTATATATTTTTTTATTTTTTTTTGCACTTTAAAAGCATTAAATAAATCCAAGGGTTGCATTTAAAGAAAGATGTCATTCTTCAAGTTCCAGGTCAATATTTTAGGGTGTAATAACATGTTATTAGTATATTATTATTATTATTATATGGCACATGTGAGAGGTTTTATTTTTCTCACAGTTGATTCTCTGAACTGATTTTGTGAATTTCAGCTTTCCATTCTTTCATCACTGTAATTCAGTAGCTAGCATATCAGCTTTGAGCTTATGGCAGCTATACATTACATTTACAGTACATGGTGAACAACATCATCATTCACAGTATCCATATGATGAATTAAAGTCCAATATTCACTC